ACAAAGAATTTGGCAATATCTGTAAAATTTTTGAAGCGGGGTCAGCGTGTGGTAAAAAGACAGGTGGCGCTTCTTTTTGTAAGCAAAATATTGATTTCCAAGATTTCAGTAACGAGGCCTGGACAAATGGATCAGGACAACGAAGTGAGGAACAGCTAATTGGCTACAGTTAAGTCAGCTTTCAAATATATCCTGACCAGTGTCTCAGCATACTTGACAATGGTTATATTTAAAAATACAGTTTATGCGAAGTCATGGTCGGGTATGGCGGCGCGCTCAGTGTTTGAAATTGTCTACAAGAACAAAATCAACGCAGAACCCATTGGTCCTCAGCAGAATCCCAAACAATAAAGTCATCCACAGTAGTAAAATTAAGTTGATCGTATACATGCTCTTAGTGGCGTTTGCATACGCGCTGGAGGGCGACCTTCGGGGAAACTTAGGTTTCATCAGCCGGCTGCCATGTTTCGGAAGGCGAATGTACTAGAATAGCCCCAGGAAATCATACTGATGTGCAGATGAGCCGCGTTCAGGCCGGATTTTCTTTAGCTTCGATTGCAGTATTCTGATTACGGTTATGTTGGGGAGATGATGCCATAGTTCCAGGACATTTAATGACTTCATCTTCCTTACATACTTTCCCTCGTGTTCTACAATTGAGCTCACAGTCAGATTCCATCCCTCCCCTTCAACATTAAGAAACCCTCAATTATTTTCAATCAATCTGATGCCATACCATCGAATGGATGGTTGTTGTCTTCAAAGGCGGCTGCATGGTATAATTCGGAATGATTCGGTGCCAACGGGTAGGAATTTTTTTGTAACACTTAAGGGTGCATCAGGTTAGGCTTGCCTTAATCGAGTTTTAGTTAGACAATTTTGGTCAATTATAAAGACAGCAATTTCGGAATTTTTTTTGCCAAATAAGATAGTATCCAGATGGAGTTGAAATAACGCGGTGTGAGTGGTCACTTGAAATTAACCTGTCCCGGTCAATTTCCAACTTAAACTTTATCCAGAAAGAAGGCAATCTGCGAGTGTCACGACGACAGTGTTCTAGAAAGTCTGGGGATTTTTGGAACTGTGAGTCTGTATTAAAAATTCTACGGACCATTTTGTTTTTCTGAATAGCCAATATGGACTGCCCTCATTGAATGTTATACTGACAGATTTCGTCTACCTTACAGCCAACGCCCATGTCACATTTCCTTCAAAAACTAGTTTTTATATGAATGTGATTGCTTACAGCCCCTCCTCTTCTTAGGCGAACACATTCGCAAAACGGTTTTACTTAAATAAAATCAAACAAAGAATGAAAAGTTGTTAACTTCGTCCTGGATATGGTTAAATAAATTATACCGAACGTTCTAAATTTGGGGTCTTTGCCTTCCAAATGTGGGAAGATTGCTTTGGAAAAGTTATAGGAATTCTACAGCACGATTCTTCTGGCGATGTTATGCGTATCGTCATCTAACGGTGCCAAAATATCGACTTTTTGAAGGCGGCTATATTTCTTTCTCCCGCATACACATGCAAGGAGAATATACGTCAATATTATTGGATGATTGTTTGAGTCAGTTCAATACGTTCCGCCATGTAAGAATAGTTGACTCTCTATGTGTTACTAAAACCGCTTTATCCTTAAACGACCACCGAAATCATGCACGCCTCTGATATTATTATTGCCGACCCCAAAGCGTCGCCGGCTAAACACATACTACTTTGGGCAAGACCTAAAAACAGTGTGATAGTAAGTAAATTTCGAAAATCCTTTTTGTCAAATAAGCTAGTGGACGGATCGAATTGAAATAATGTGGTGTGAGTGGTCTCTTGAAACTGACCTGTTTCAGTAAATTTCCGACTTGAAGTTTAATTCTCTAAGTAAGCCAGCAGCAAGTGTTTGACGACGACGTTCCAAAAAACTGTGCACCTTAGAAAAAATCTGTAGACCATTTTGTTTTTCTGAATATCCGATATCGACTGCCTACATCGAACATTACACTGACGGATTTCGTGTGTCTTACAGGCAACGCCCATATCAAATTTACTTCAAAACCTACTTTTTATATGAACGTGAACGCGCTTAACCCTCCACCCACCCCTGTTCTTGCACAAACAAGTTCAGAAGAACGTTTTTTGCTTAAATGAGACCAAACAAAGAATACAATGGTGTTGCCTTCGCCGAGGATATCGTTTAACACATTTTTACTAACAATCTGAATTGTGTGCTTTCGCCTTACAAATGAATGTGTAAAATTTCAACATGTAAACCTAATCGTACTGCCATAATGCCCTGTTTACATCAAAAATGGTGGTGTCTGTAGGGTTTTAGTCAGCGTTGATGTATCACATCTACTTTTGCATATTACACCATATGAACCACCTCAATACCCCGCTACTCTTTTGCGATTAAACTTTGCATGCTATCATTAAAAGATGGTGCATAAGTTTCCCCTTTAATGACCTGCGGATATCATGCAAAATGCGCTTTAATGGTCAATCGGAAAAGATGAGGAAAGTTAAGCATGCTGGCTGGTGTGCACCAGACCTAAGTCCTTCATCTGACACTTTTGTGCCTGGGTGAATTTCAACTAGTCAATAGAATGTTAAATGGGAAACAAGTTTTCGTTCTGTGTTTTCTGATGTTGTCAATTGTTTTAAATGCATGTAAAAATGCAACACACAACCCAGAATGATGAAGAGCCGATCGCTAAATACTTTTGGTAACATGTAAGTCGGCTGTTACATAGACCGATCCGTTACTCCCGACTGGGAGTGCTCAGACGTGAGGCGGTCGTGAAGATGGCAGATGTCAATTCGAAAGTCTCTGGACACTTAAGGGGTCCCAGTCACACCTTCTAGTGCCACGAGACGGACAGCCTTGTCAGAGTCAACAACCCCCCTTCTGCTGGTCACCTGGTTAGACTTGGCACACAGAACAGGTGGAAGCAGTGCGTTTAGTCAAACAGAACTTTGTCGGCTGGGCAATGTCATGGCACTTTATGTTTCCTGAGCTATCTCATGCAAACTTAAAAGAAAATGTCGTTTAGCTTTTTAGTAAAATAATCATTGAAGTTTACGCATTCTCTAATGTGCTTAACTTTTCTGGTCCTCAAAATTCCGAATTGTTCAACATTTTTACCTTAAAATAATAAGCAACGTTAAAACGCTATTGTTACTGTGTACTAAAAGAGTCATCTGTGAGAAACCGGACATAAGATTTAGAATCTAGGAAAGGGCACGTCAGCAGAGTAAACCGAGGCCCGAATAATACAGCTGAAAGGCGGTATTATTTATAATGCGACACAGATCATCGCGACTTCCGATGAAGCGCATTATTGGGGCTGCAATCCAGTGCATTTAACCGAAGTAGCCTTACAGCCGAGACAATGAAGGCGGATGATTTAACGATACAATTATTCCATATGATCTGTTCTGCCCTGTTGGCTTTTACCAATCGCATTTTTCAGATTCTCAGTCAACATCAAAAGCGCTGAACGAATTCTTCAGGTTATACGTTGACTTCTGTCGAGTGGGGAACAAAATCTGCCGAGTACTCATATACCTAGACTGACATTGCACAACAGCGTTATTAGGTCAACCAATACGTGATTGAAAGAACGTCAACTGTCGTGTGTATGTACCTATATCTCCGCTAAATAATGAGAAGCAGAATTGGAGACTAGGCATTTGATGTCAATTATCGCTCTGTCATAATTCGAATCAGATCAAAATGTTTGCTTTGTTGAAAGAGTCCCAGTACATAAGGTAGACGTATCTGGCATGACAGTGGTCTGGATCTCCCTGATCCTCAGTGTGGGGCTGGACATCTAAGAAGCGTCTTGGTACGAACTATTTGTATCCGCGTTTGTCTCTAATGATGGGTTCAGGAAGGAAGCTAAAGCCTCGGGCGAATAAAGTTTATGCTTCAGCAATGATGTCTCCCCCTGCCCAAGCAGGATTTCCTCAGAAATCAAGATAGAATCTACGAAACTGTCTACACGTTTCACTTAATTAATTAGTGCTTTGGCAGATTTAACTAATTTCTTTAGCCTCTTGGTTTGCATATCCGTAGAATAAAAGAAATTTAATGTAGTTTAGTTTTAAAGGGTTACTAGATCGTATGTTTGCATTTGACGAAGACTGCAATGTTATTACGTTTAGTCTGAAGATTGTCGGATATAAACGCGTAAGAATCAAGCATTACGGTTGTGCCATTAATTCAAATAGATCTTTTCCACAAATTCAACCATGTTTTCCGAAAATGCTACGATACGGTCATGAGTGTGTACGAGCAATTTCGCCTTGTCTAACGGATAAATTGGGCAGCGCTCTATGAGCGTCGATAGTGATCAAAAAATCCGGATTTTTAAAGTGTGACTGGGTATAAAAAAACAGTCTCTACTCCATATTATTAATGTTTTATGTAGGATGAAAATATAATTTTTTTAAAAAAAATTGATAAGCGTATGTACGGCAAGCTATAAAAGTGCAATTTCAACATGAAGAACGATAAGCACTTTGTCGACCATTGTCATCGTGCGAAAATTTCATCGGAAATTACACTAATATCAATTTCTTAAAAAATAATGTTACGAGATAAATAGAGGCTGTGCATACTTATCGGATACATTATGGCTGGGAATGAAACGAAATACATCAAGCATTTTAATACAAAGGTATTATTCTCGGAGACTTTGCAGACAGTTACATGTGTATTTTTTGTAATCCTGGAACCCGCAACTTAAGAAAAGTTTCTTCATGACAAGTTGAATTAAAGAAAATGTTCCATTTCCACCTATGCCTGCTAGCCCTCATTCCATTTCGTTTTTAGTCTAAAGGCTTAGTTTAAGATTATTCCGCTTGCTACAAAAACATATTCAAAACCTGACGTTGATTTGCAGACAAAACAAGTTAACGCCTTCTACTTGGCAAAAAAACTAATGATCGCATTCGTATATAAAGAGGGCTTTTTCACTGCGACATATCGTCTAGTCGCAATGGCGTTCCCTCACTTGACTGTGGTGTTCACCATTGTCCTTTTTAACTTGGGTAAGCTACCATTATATTTGCATCGTTCAAGTTCTTCCTTGCTGTCATTTACAGTAGATGTGCTAACTCATGAAATGTCAACCACAATTTCGAAATGCGTTCTCGTTTCGAAAAGATAAATTAAGTAGTGTTGTAAAACTAATCATGATGCAGCATAAATCTATAATGATCCAGTTACCTAAGGGTGCCGGCTTTCGAGAAAACTTATTTTCGGCTGTATGCAAGATCTATACTCTGCAAAAAATGACTACATAATTAGTATGCAATTTTCTCATTGATTTTCTATGCCCTTGAAAATTCAATTATATTTCATGGAAAACATGCATAAAAATATTCATTCTTTTACTTATTCGGTAGAAAATAACGTCTTCTTCTGCATCTTGTGTGCCTTAATCCATGCTATGTTTTTGCAATGCAACGAGATTTTGGCAGCGAAATTGCCATTACAATATTAATGGTTATGTGAAGTGCTGTTTTGGTAACTTAAAGTCGAAGGTATCGTTGTGTCGTTGCTTATACAATTTTGCATACTTCAATGAGTTAACATTTCCCAAAATTTCTGTTAGCGTAATAATCATGAATTTTCCTCAGACAGTTACATTTTACTCCCTCAATTAGGGTTTTGATACGTTATATTATTTATTTATTTAATAATTGTTATCTAGGATGTCGACGTTTGCTCAGATTCTGACTTCTGTTTGCCTATACGTTTTTTCAGTCATCTACAGACTTAGCACTTCAAGAAGGTTTTACATGCGTTATCTGACGTAAGGGCACAACCAAAAGTCAAAGTAAAAAAACTAGAATTATTTGTTTAAAACAACGACTGATAATTCTCAGAAAAGTGCAAATTGTAATGGCTTATTTTGGTATAATGTCAGGTTTAGAAATTTAAAAACGATTACGAAACACCCAATCCACATTTTTGGTTTTAAATGACTAAAGAACATTTTAACTCAATGCTTAGATAAGTCAGTGGTCCAAACAAATATTTGCTTTGATGAAATACCACGATCCCTACCAAGAAACCCTTTGTTTAGATGCTTTGTAGAAATAAGTTGGACAGTTATATGGGATGGCACGTTGCTTATCTAATTAATCAGAGATGTGTTTCACTTTACAGTATTTTTCGCAGTCTTATTATTTGCATCGACAAATACAGCCATTCACATAAGCACATTTCTTTATTTAGTCTAAGAATAACCATGATATTTATGTTAACAGAAGTGTCACACAATGTATGTACCCTCATAACTATGACTTCTCCATAAGTAGCCAGATGCAGGTAGCACTGCTTATAAACCCATTGCCTTATTCGTTAATGTTGCGTGAAATGTGGGTGTTTGATACAACCTGCGCATTCAGGCTCATCTCTGAATCCCTAATTACTCTTCTCTCAACATTGTAAAGGTTCTTCTCGTCAGCAGCCACACACCAGCGTCTGCGAAAAGAAGTACTCGGGTTGTGTGGGCTTCCTCAATAAGCAGGACAACTTTTCATCCTATCGTCAATGCTTGAAGGCCTGCGATTTCAAAAACGGTTGGCTTGATTTCTGGCAAAATATTTAGACCTCTTTTTATTTGGCGAAAGCTAAGCAGAATTTCCGTTGTTTAGTGCCTACGGCGAAGTCGCGTAGAGCGTACTCCTGCATCGATTACTCTAAACCATGTTCCCCGTTGAAATTTTATCAAATCCACTCATCTACTGACGCCTTCTTCGAATGGACCAAATGCCTGGAAGTATGTCACGCACTCTACAACGGTAAGGTTAATTCGCATTCTCAACCAGCGTCAAAACTCAGTATAATTGTGCAACTATGCCTATCCCTACTTCTGCATTAGTAGTGAGAGATTTTTACTTCATCAATTATAACACTAATTGAAAGTAACGTGGAAAGGTTTATTTGCAAGGAAACGCTATGTTACCCCACAGTGCACAGACATGGCTCCTGTAGTCGCTGCAGTATTAACTCAGAGACTCTTGTGCTGCTCTATGCTTATGCTATTACTAATTTTTTAACCTTTCCGTCCTAGACGATGGGAAAGTAACGGCTTCGGGGGAGATCTGCATGCAACCGAAGAAAAATTGCTTCAGTTTTGCAAACAGTGAAGGGACCGTTGACAAATTCATGAAATGTTATGTGGACTGCCAAGTAACTAGAAAAGGTAAAGTATTCGTTAAGCTATTAGCTGAATGAATATTGCTACTGCATGTTTAATGATAAAACATTTTGTTTCATTCAGAAACCGAGACATATGTGAAGGACATGTACGTGTGCAGTCCCAACCAACAAGAATGCATTAATTCCATATTCTTTACCCTACCGGGAGAAAAGGAACCGAAACAGGTACTAACGAAGTGCTACCAGAACTGCGGAATTGGTGAAGGTACAGTTGAAACAACGTTTATTTATTTTTATAATGATTTGTATTTTCGTAAACTTGCTTTATTGTACATCCCATAATTAAATATTGTTCTAGCAGCTTTTGAATATTCAAAGACCCGAGGCGCATTTGGACAAAACTGTGCGCGAATAGTATCCTAGAAACATGACATCAATTAGAAATTCCTTGCATAATATGCTCTAGAGATGACAGGGTTTAATCATCGAATATTGCAGAGAACACGGAGAATGAGCTAAACTCGAAAACTGTTACAGAAGTTACTATTAATGGATATACCATATTAGAAACTGGACTAACTTTAGGCCAAAACAAATATAGCACCTGTATAAAGTGGTAAACTGAAGAGAGCAAACCCGAAAAAACCTCGGACAGATGGCTATTAAGAAGATATTTATTATTTTTCTGCAGGTAAGAAAGAATAAATCGCAAGGAAAAAGGGAAAAATGTCAAAACGCAGGAGCAATAAGACTGTCTTTCACAGAAAATCACTGATATATAACACGAAAAAGAGGAGCAACTGCATAAAAAGGACGCATATGCATAAATGGGAGGATATTCGATATGCGTACAAGTATACATTGCATAACATATCAATTACGACCGAATATATATATCAACATAAAATCAATTATGATGCAGTGCAAAATAGGTGCGTAGCAGGTAAATTAGCGGAATTACTGCTTTTAGGAATAGAAGCCCGAAGGGTTGACATCCTAACGGATGCAGTGCCTACATGTGCTCTCGCGTCCAAAGGCAATACATGCATACATATATATAGCGTTTGCCATTGAGTAGGCTGATGACTGCAGTCTGCATGAGGATGTCTGTGCCAGGCCAATGCAAACTTATCTCCCAGCAGGCCGTCTGATGCCGCGGCGTCTGATGGGGCGGCGGCGGCTACAGCGGCGGCCGCCACAGCGGCCGATAGACTTGATTTTACGTGACATAATTCATTCAGGAATTCTTTGCCTTTGTTCACTCAAACCTCATCAGCTCTTCCATTTGCAACCACTCATACAGCACCAGCTCCCGAACCAGAAACAGGCGGCTTCAAATGCGACGAAGATTCCCAGACCTGTGTATCCTGCACCGACGAGGATGGCGAATGCTCGGACTTATCCACTTGCCAGGATTCCTGCGGCAAAGAAGGTAACTTCTCCTCTTCCGCTGCCCCCACCTCCCGACTTACTGCTAACTAAGACCACGTGCACCGGCAGAATCAATAGGCCACAATTGCTCCCTGCAGTTAGCCTCAGATCAAGCCTGAAATATGATTGTGGCTGCAGGCATGATTTTACGAATGCCTGTACATTGTGTAACCTGCAATGGTTTTAGTTTCTTCAAGCTTAGGTCACCTTCAAGACATATCTTCCCGCCATGAATATTTGGCATAATGAACTGAAAGGGCCATTTCACAAAGGCCGCACTGTCTCGCCTCGTATGTGTGTGCGATCTTGTCAAAACGAAGCCTCATTCATTGGCAGGAATAGGTGGGGAATGCAATTCATGCAATAGCAGGAATGAAAGGTAGGCTACTGCATCATGGGGGACAGGTGGCCTTTGTGCAATGGGATAGGCGTAACAGGAAATGACCCCGTTGGCATAGTATCTCAAGGTGGTTTCTCCTGCGATTTACATAGAAGTCTATTGCATCCTGCGAGCGAAGTCAATACATCGGCTGATTGAATGACCCTTAGGTGCCATATAACTAAAGTATTCTTTGCAGCCATGATGCTATAGCACTGCTGACATGCGTAGCACGATAGTGTTTGTACATGGCAAGACATATCCCCTCGGGGCACAAAACGGACTAGAAGGCAAGTGGTTCATTGCTTATTGAGGAGGCGGCTGATGTGTCAGCAGAGGACCTCAGACTACTACCCATGCATACTCTAATGCGGGTGTGAAGTCCGCAAATGTCCTTCGGTTTTTGCACAAACACTGTATGTAATCGGCATGACATGCTTGCAGGCCTTGGAGCATCTTCTCATGCCGAGACGTGCGCTGTGTCTGTGCATGCCTTAGTGCCTCCAGCAGGCAAGAGGGAAGTACTGCTTGTGCAGAGATACACATAGGTAAGCAGACATCAGCAGAGGACATGCTAACAATTAGATTTCATACTTTCATTTTCTTATCATCATTATGAACGAAGTGCAGTGAGAAGGCGGATGGGAGTTAAATACGTGCCGGGCTATGCTGTAAATAGAAGGACAGAGTAGGAGATTTGACATTCTCGAATGTAACCCTCAGCGAGACTGAGGTGCACGTGGTGCTGATGAGAATGCAGTCCGTGTTGTGGCAGCGTACAATGAATGCACCGCCATTCTAGCCGATGCGGCGCCTGCAGGGGCTGAAGGAGGCAAGTGCGCTCTCGTCGAAAAGCGTTGCATACATGCATACATAGCCAGTGCCAGCAAACACGCTGTTGACCGCAGTCTGCATGGGGATGTCTGTGCAGAAATCGGCAATGGCCAGGACGTACTTCATTCAGGAATTCTTTGCCTTTGTCCACTCAAACCTCATCATGTCTTCCATTTGCAACCACACCTACATCACCAGCTCCCGAACCAGGAACAGGCGGCTTCAAATGCGACGAAGCGTACAATATGTGCGTACCCTGCACCGACGAGGAAGACGAATGTTCGGACTTGTCCACTTGCGAAGAGACCTGCGGCAACGAAGGTAAGTTCGCACCCTCATCCTCTATCTCCTCCTCATCCTCCCTACTCCCTGCTTACTAACACTACCTGCGGAGTGGGTCACAATTGCTCCCTGCATTTAGCCCATGACCAAGTTTTAATTGTTATTTTTCTTCTTTTTCCCTTTTTCTATATTGTATTTTTCCTCTTGAGTATCATCTGTTTTTGGCTCTTACGATCTTGTTGCTAGTTTTCGTTCTTTTATGTCTTTTCTTTTCCTTTTTCGCACCTTCTCTTTTGCCTCACGGTTCTTCTTCGTCATTCATTTTTCAGCTTCTTTGCCCATCATTGCATCTTTCTTTTTGCATTTTCTTACTTCGCATCTTCTTATGCGCCCTTCCGCTCTCTTTTATTTTATGTTCTTGCCCTCTTTCCTCCCTTACATTTTTTACTATTATGTTGTTCTTTCACTGTTAGGCCTACTCCTACTATACCTCGTTGATCCTGATCTTCACTTCAGACTCTCGGTACTTTGTTTTATATTGTCGCAGCCTGTTGTCACTATACAACTTATTGTGTAGGTGTGAAATACTCTACGTCATGTATTACAGTTTAATTGGTCAAATTAAATGTGCATGTCTACAGTGTCATTTAAATGCCAGGGCGGCGCATTTTGCTATACTGTTTTGTCTGTCATTTAAATGCATACTTATTTCTCCATCCAATCCAATTCATGACATGGGCCGTTTGAATGCGCTTTGGCCACCATAAAGGCGAAGCAATATTTTAACCAAATGGCGTTGAGCTAGTGACAGCTTTTAGGCAATCCTTTCTTCGCATAGACATGGGAAGCTTCATTTATCGTTCGATTTTTTAGGCTGATGCCTCTTCTCCTTTACCTTTCTTATGTTCTCCTTCTGATTATGTCTTCTTCTTTTTGTGTTTAACTGATTTCTCGATTTTTTCTCATTCGTTTCCTTTGCGATTTCAATTATGCCAAATTTGTTCTTCCCCTCATGCCAGCCCCATTTTTGATCCTACATGCTTTAATGATGAATAATTGCTTATTCCGTTTCTTGTAGCTTAATCCGTACACAACGACAAATAATGATGTCAGTGGCATGTTGGTGCTTTTGGTCATGGTTTTGGGTGTTTTGTGTCGAAAATTGTATGTTTTAACGGGACTTAACTGGTGACTGCCTAAATAAAACAAAAAGTCAAAAGAGGAGTGTTTGTACTATTCATAAGATCGGACGGGTGATTTGCAAATAGAGTCGAAGAAATTATTCGCTTTAATGAAAATAACTACTGAAGATTCTGAATTACATGCTAGGGCTATGATTCAATTGAAGGGTTCACCCGAGATGCCCGCGTATTCACAGGGGCTTTTATGCATACCTCTCAAGCGAGTAGCCACCGAATACAAAAATGACTTATGTAACTTAACCCGCGAAAATACTCCAAAATGACTGATTGCGAGTCGGGATGTTACGTTTAACCTTATAATAATGAGAGAGGATGGGAACTCTAAGATGTCAAGGATGAATTCATGTGCAGAACCACGGAAAGTAGGTTCGTCACCCGTATAAATTCGTTGCTAAAACCAAGAGTCCGCATATTAATTTAAGGATGTCCCGTGTTAGTTACATTGACAAACCCAATCCTGTAAGATTTTGAGGCGCATCAACAATAGTTCCTGCACATCAAAGTAATTAGTAAGTCATCAAAACAAGGGATAACAGGATCAGAACAGATGTCGGTGTACGATGTCTGTTTTGTGAAAGTGTTTAACAGATTATATTTTCTCTTGCTAACCAGGACGACGGACGTAGATAAAAGCGAATAAATTTCCGGGACAGGTCAGCCGACCAAAGACGGGTTTCATTATCGATAATCTGAAGAATATTGATGATATATCCGATGGATCCCATCGTTTTATGGATAAGTAGAGTGCTCATATCTGAATTATTATGATATACCGGGGCCCATATTGACACCTAACACTTTCATCTTGTGACCGTCAAAGGTCTAGCATTTTTGAATCATATTAGCTGAACGTCGTCCAAATGATTTAGAAAGACCGGGCTCAATGAGAGGCAAAATCGCAGACTATTTCTATAAACTGGAAACAAGTACGCCTTGGGTGGTATTATTAATCTTCTATACAAGACTTGGAGAAATGTTTCAGTTGTGCCAACATCCAAATCGCTATCCACAAAATCTGCTGTGACTGTCTCTCAACCATGACAGACATTTATTCTATGCCTGATTATTCTCAAATTCCAGAATGATAGGAATGCTTCATATCAGGTATGGCTTTCGTCAAGCTGGCTATAGTATCCCCAGATGACATGAAAATATTCAGTGAACTGAATAAGTCAAGTTAGGAAGTTGTTGTCGCACATTGACAAACTGAATGTTTGCTTCAGCAGATGATTTTAACAATCCTTTATGTCCACACCTAGAATCTACCCAAAAATATCTTCAAAACACCAGGATTATATTAATGGGGCTACAACAGAAGCAAAGGAAAGCACAAATATATTACTATATGGACGACCAAAAATTTAATGCCACCAAGTCATCGTAAGAAGATGGTTCAGATGGCGATTAGTATGCTCCATTGGATTAGACACGAATTGAGAATATTTTCTCTTGAACTCTTCAGAAAAAGTTTCTGCGTTTTTAAGAAACCTCATCTGGAACATTGGATGCCAGCAGCTATATCATGGATGAGGAACTATATTGATCTCCTCTAACGGGTGGAACCCAGGTGCAACTAAGACGGTAGACGGTCTTAAGTATCTGTTTCATCAGAATAGGCTGAATGCCAACAACTATAGCATGGATGAGGAACTATATTGATATCCTCTAACGGGTGAAACCTGTTGGGTGTGCCTACACTCCCAAAAACAAGAGCAAACCAATCAATGGAGATCACGTGCGTTTGCTCTCTCTCTGCCGCGCTGTCATCTCAATAAGGCGCTTTCCCATTGGCTACTCCCCTCTTCCCGAAGGTTATTGGACCGAGTGCCGGCGAACCACGCTAGCGTGTGATAAATATGCGTCACCCTTAGCTAGACGCGACTTGCTAATACGTGTTTGCTAATACACGTTCCGTGGCCAGCCGTGTGTTCTTTGTCTGCTGCCTTGATATTGGGAACCAGGGTCGAGTGCGCATACGCTCCACGGGATTTTTACGTACCAGGCGGGTCATAACAAATTGGCGACGCAGTTTCTCAACTACGATGGCTGACGAGTACGCAGACTTGAAGCAGATGTTGCAGCAGCAGCTGAAGCTGATGGACGCACTCACCGCCAAGCTGTCCAACTCATCTATGGGCCAATCAAGCGCGGCTGGTGGTTCACAATCTGTTGATCACATTGCCGGCAGCATCACCGAATTCTTGTATAACCCGCAGGCCCATATCACCTTTGATTCCTGGTACAAGCGATACGAGGACTTGTTCTCTGTCGATCTGGCTGCCCAGGACGATGCATGGAAGGTCCGAATTCTACTTCGCAAACTGGGTCCGGCTGAACACGAGCGTTATGCAAAC